CTCCCTTCTCCTCCTGTACTTCCCTGGCCTTCAGGGCCTTGAACTCCTTTTTTTTTTTAAATTTTATTTATTTATTTGTGTGTGTGTGTGTGTGTGTGTGTGTGGCCAGCTCAGCCCACCAGGGGGCGGGGCTGGCCGGCATGTGGTGCTGGGGGATTGAACCGCGGTCCCTGTGCTTTGCCAAGCTTGTTCTAGGTAGGTGCTTTAGACCACTGAGCCATCTCACCAGCCCCGGGCCTTGAACTCCTGAAGTGACCAAGACTGGCCTCAAATTCTCCACTCTCCTGCCTCAACCTCCCATTAACAGGGGTTCATTACGGGCAGTGAGCACCCCTGTGTCCACTGCGCTTCTCACCAAGCCTCCAGGGAGACAAGGCAGAGCCCCCAAGGGACTGGAGGGGACAGAGCAGAGTGGTGGGACCCACCTCTGCCCGAAGCTGTGTGCTAAGCATCCGTGGGTCAGCGGCAAATGGCCTGGTGCAGGTGTTGTGCTGTGAAGCCTCCATCTTATTTGTAAGCTGAGGGTGACAGTGACAGGGTTGTCACGGGAGTTCCCAAAGTTCCAGGCCGAGAGCAGAGCAGGCATAGGGGTTGGCTGGTGATGTCCCTCTGGGGTGAGACCTGAGGGCCACCCAAGCCTCCCTGTCAGAACATGGACAGGAATTGTCAGAAGAAGTGACAGTCCAGGTAGCAGAGGTGACCCAGAGTCAGGAAGGCCCCGCCCGCCCAGTCTCCCCTCTCTAGCCAAGGAGAGAGCTCAGAGCCATGGGGTGCCGGAGCCGCTGAGAAGCGCCAGCCGCAGCCCGGGCTACCAGGGACCCACATGGCCCAGGACCCCACAAGAGACCAGGAAATGCCACCCTCCCCCACTCTGGGCCTCGCACTCACAGGACTCCCTAAACTGGTTCCATCCAGCCCCATGGGATTTGCCGGGGCTTGTCCCTCCTTCCTTGGGCACGGTTCCTGCTCAGCACTATTAGTGTTTTCTTTCTTGTACCTGTTTGGCAAACAAGTTGGGAGCTTCTGAAGACAAAAGAGACCCACGGTGGTTACAGATGGCTTTTATCCCCAGGAAGCAGAGAGGAGGTCAACCCCTCTCCCACCCCACACAAGGGCAGGAACATCAGGGAACCAAAGCAAGCAAGTCATCGAGGCTTTCTAAGGAGGACATGACACATGAGCCTCAGCAGAGTGGAGTGGGACTTTATTTTCATTTTTCTGAGTTGACCTTGTGGAAGAAGCCCTAAGCAGCTGCCCACTGTCTGTGGACAGAATGCAGAGCACCCACTCCACGCTGCTGCCTTCCGGGACTTCCACTGCCGCAGGTGAAGGAGGACGCATTAAATTAGGTGCGGTTTAAAAGCAGCCCCTCCTGGCCAGGTTTGCACAACGCTGTAGGTGACAGCACAGCCATCAGGAAGCAGAGAGCCTGAGCGCTTCTGGAAGGGCGGGACGGGTCCAGGATGTCAGAGGCTGGGCTCAGCTGCCTGCCTGCCTGCCTGCCTGCCTGCCTGCCTGCCGCTCTGGCGCAACAGTCAGTGGAGGTAGTCATGAGTGCATGAGGTAAGGGAGACCGAGACCAGCTTCTGGCCTGAACTGAACCCCTCGGCTCAAAGCAGCAAGGATTTGGGGCTTTTGCTCCCAAGATCCTCTGCTGCTCCCCGGGAAGGGGAAAATGGCCGAGTTACTCTCAGAACTCCGTACCACAGCAATCAGGAGAAAGTGGGTCACAAAGCAGCTCTGCTAAGCATAGGCCCCAGAGAAAAGGCCCCGGTTTCCGTGCCAGGTCGCATTTACTGAGCACCTACTGTGTATGCATGGATGTCACAACGCCTAATTCACATAATCGCAGCCTCAGTGGTGGGCTTGGGGCTGTGAACTCCGGGGTACTGATTGGCTGAAGGAGCTGGGTGGACTTGGTTCCCCGTCGCAGCTTTCCTTATCAGCATCTGTAAAATGGAAACAATAGATCGGCCTCACCCGGCTGTGGGAACGAAACGCGCACGTGGAAGCCGGAGCTTCATAAATGCCAGTTATTACAGTTCCTCCTGGGCACGCGCTCCCCGCCCCCACCCTACCAGGGCGCGCGCATAGACACGTTCACACTCCCCCTGTACACAGATGCAGACATGTGCCCATGCCCGCGTCTTGCACCTAGTGCCAACGCCGAGCGCCTCCGAGAAGCTGCGGGGCCCTCAACTTCGCTGCTTTTCCCTTAGATCTTTATGAATGAACTCCGGTCACAAGGAGTTTATTTTTTTATGAATGGGAGCCCAGGACGTGAATGAAGCCCAGAGACAGCCCCTACAGTCTGATTGGCTCCTCTACTGTGAGGCCCCGCCCCCGGCTCGACGAGGGAGTCATCGGATTGGCGAGTGGTCCGGACCCTGGGGTTTCATTCAAGAAAGTCAATGAAACAAAGGGAGCGGGCGGGGTGGGGGGGCCGAGCGGGGCAGCGCGGAGAAAACGCACCAATCAGCAGCTCCCCCGGGCTCACAACCGGCCGCGGCGCCCAGAGCAGGCGTCGCGCGGGGACCCGGGCTGGGGCCGCCTTGCTCCCGCCCCGCCGCGCGGCCCCGGCGTCGTCCCGGGCGGGCTCGGGACCCCCTGCGGCTCCCGCGCCGACGCCCGGGCCTCAGGTGAGGCTGCGGGAGGGGGCGGCGGGAGAAAGTCTGTGACCCCCAGCGTGCCTCCCACGCCCCGCGCTGTGCCCACAGCCACATCCGCAGGTCCCGGGGCCGGGTAGGGGGACAGAAGACTTGGATGTGGGGCTAGAGAGGGCGCGGGGTGGGGTGCGCGGAGCGCACGCGCGCGCACACTCACACACGTGCACACGCATGCACACGCGTCTTATGTAACCGAGCTCGCCGTGCGGACTGCCGACCACAGAGCGGCGCCCCCCGGGAGCAGGTGGGACCCCTGTGGGTGCCAGGTCCCTCCCCGCCATTCCAGAGTGGGAGAAGTTCCGCGGTCACCTCAGAGCCTCAGGACTGACACCTCCCGCCTCCATCCCCCCTCCCCTCCGCGCGCAGCTCTCTTGGGACAGTGCCCCACCCCCCCCGCGCGCGCGCTTAGTGCCCCCGCGTGGCTCGGCCGGGTGGCCGGGGAGCGGCCGGATGGAGCGGAGGATGAAAGGCGGATCTCTGGACCAGCAAGTGCCCTACACCGCCTGCAGCGTGAGCGCCGACCCCCGCCCCCAGACACCCCGCGACCCTATACCCCTGGACTCCATCACCTCCAGACCTGATTTATGGATTCCATCCCCCCAACACCCCATCATCCTTGGACGCAGTAACCTCGGCAACCCCATCCCCTGGGACCTCCCCTCACTAGGCACTGGAGTTGACTGGAGCACCGTCTCCCCTCCCTTCAGAAACTGTCCGGAAATGGGAGCCTTCTCGAAGGGCTGATGGTTCCCCAGAGGAAGCTCATGGACCCTGGCTCCCTACCGCCCCCCGACTCTGAAGGTAAAGAGCCAGACCAGAGGAGACCCTCCCCTCACCTGAAAGGCCAGGGCTGGAAACCACCACCCCACCTCCAACTCCCCAAAAGGCTGCCTTCCCCAGAGCTGCTTGTTCTGGGTACCTACCCTACAGTGGCAGCAGGCAGCCCCGTGGCTCACTGGGTCCCCTCCCTCCCGGCACCCCCACCAGCCACTTCACCAGCAATTCATTATTCCTCCCTCAGATCTCTTCCAGGACCTAAGCCACTTCCAGGAGACTTGGCTCGCGGAAGGTGAGTTGTGTGATCCTTCTGTTGTTGGGGTGCCCCAGCCTTGCCCCCTTCCTTTGTCTTTTGTCTGCCCAAAGGCAACCTCCAAGCCCCCTCTGCCTCACCCTCTCACAGTGCCCAGTGTGGACACTTATACTGATATTTATTTTCTCTGGCCTGACCCAGGCTGCCTAAGGAGGCCTGGGGATGAATCAGACCATTGTGTGGGGTATTTGCTTATTTGGATGGAGCTTGGCCCGGGGCCGTTTTCCGGGTTGAAAATTTCATTTCCAAGTTTGTTTGGCAAAGGCTGCAGGGTCCAGGTTCGTGCAGGGTGTTGGGGTTGGGGGGCAGGAGATTGAGAAGGAGCAGTTAACCTGGTGTCTGTCTTCCAGAGCTGCCCAAACATTGAGTGGAATCCTCTCCTTTCACTTCCCAACTCTCAGGGCTGATTTGCTGTCCAAGCCAAAAGAAAAACAAAAGTTTGAATAATTTTTTTTCTCAGCACTTTGGCCAGAGGATGAGGCTGCCTCCCAGTAGCCCCAATTGTAATTCCAACGGCAGCGGCATCCCTGCTGCAGCCCCCGGTGATGCCTCCGTGCAGGCAAAGTCCCTGCTTCCTGCGCATTTGGGGGGAAAGCTTTGAGCTGGCCAGGATGGAGCCAGAGGGTGTCACTGGTGGGGTGCAAGCAGTCAGTGCTTTAGAGCACCTCTGAGAGGGAAAGGTTAAAGCCCCCATCTTGGGTAACACCCCCTTTATTTTAAGACTGAGGACCAAGAGCCTGAAATGCTAGGAACCCCTTTTTGAGGGCTTTTCTCTGCCTCCAGACCTCCTTCTCCCCCATATCTGTCTTTGGCAGTCGCATAAGCATAAGCCCGACTCCCCCGGAACCCTCTATAGCACCTGACTCAGCCAGTGGATGGAGTAAGGCTTGGTCCGTCCACCACGATGGCACCTGGAGAATGTGTCTACAGAATAGCCACTTAGCATAGAGCTGCCTCTGGGACATCTGGGGGAATGAAGGGGGATCTGTGTGTGGGTGCCAGGGGCGTGGGTCCTGTGGGCACCTTCCCCTGAGTCTGCATGCCCTGAGTGCCCAGTGCCCGCCTACTTGCAGGCAGAACTGTGCCCAGCCACCCTCACCCCTGCCCAAGGTTCCTGAGCAGGGCTAATACCGGAGGTGTCTGTTTCCAGGCACTCAAACGACTTCCTTTTCCAGCGCCTGATATGGGTCTGGCTGGTGGGGCTCCTCTCCCTGGCTGTCAGCAGAGGGTCCCCCAGTGGGCAGCTCCAGGGCTTCCAGCTAGGAGTGGCTCCGAGCTTGGCATTTTAACATAGTCCGTTGCCTGGGTTTGAGGGGGTTCTTATCCTACCCTTGGAGACACCCGTGTCCCACAAGTGCGTGCCTCTGTGTGTGTGTGTGTGTGTGTGTGTGTGTGTGTGTGTGTGTGTGTGTGAATGTGAGTTCACTCCGTGCTGCTCCCGTGTCCCTGTCCATTTAAATCCCGGGGGTGGGAGGAGGGGTGGGGATGCGGTTGAGGGGGCTGGGAGCGCCGTGGTTCTCTCCTCCGCGGGAGGAGCTGCTCAGGTTCCCAGCTGGCGCTGGTGACCAGGCCTGGGGGGGGCTCCGGCCACTTGCTCTTCGCCGCTCTCTCCACGGAGACAGATGCAGCTGCCGGGGCCCTGTGCCTCCGCGCTGCCCCAGCATCACCCCGGCCTCTTCTCCTGCCTCTTCTCACCAGGTCAGTGTCCCTGGGTTCCTGGGGGGCTTCAGGCAGTAGGGAGAGGCCAGGTCCTTTGGAAAACTGCCAGCGGTGGGGCACATCCAGGATGGTGGAAAGAAGCAGGGGTTCTGGCAGCAAGGGTGAGGAGGGGGCAGCTCGGGAGGTGCAGAGGCACTGGGGTGCGTGGTGTGGTCAGGGCATTCGTAGGCAGCCTAGACATCTGGGATTGGAGAACAGTGCTCGGAAGCTGGGGTGCATCTGATTTCTGGGCACCTGGGTTGTTGTTGGGGTGCTGGAGCAAGGGTCGAGCCGGCACAGAGAAGAAAGCCAGGTTCGGGTAGGCAGAGCGCAGACGTGCACAGCTGAGGGAGAGATGTGCTGGTTCTGGTCCTGGACTCCTTTCTGGACTTGGCTGGAGTCTTCAGGAACCCTCCGGTGACCTTGTCCATTTGGCAGTGAGGGACAGTGCTGGGCCGCTGATGTCCTTTGTGTGAGCTGGGGTCTGCCACTCCTGAAGCCTGTGGCTGCTGCAGGGTCCCCACCCCGTGGAGACAATGCATGAATTTTTTGAGGGGGTGCCAGGCTGTGGGGTGCATGGATTTTCTAGGAAAAAAAAAGATCCGAGCTTTTCCCAGAATCCCTGTTCCCTGCCCTCCTCCAGTGGGTCTGTTTGGCTCCCCACCCAGAGAGACCCCAGCTGCAGGTGGTGTTTCCCGGGGTGCTTCAGGACGCACAGAGTGACTGTTGAGCACCCCCCCCACACACACACACACACGCGAGCTCTGCTAGCTAAGGCCTTCTCATGTCTTTGTGTCTCCTCCCCTGCCAAGGCTCCTGAGACATTGTCCCCTGCAGGCACAGTGCTGTTTCCTTCCACCCCTAGGGGAGGACTAAACAGAGAGCTCCAAGTGGAGGGAGCTCCGAGGGGTGGGTGGCTGCCCGGGGCTCAGCTGCTTCGCTGCTCCGGCTCTCCAGTTCTTCCAGGGCCCACCTGGGGAGGCCTCAGCCCTTCCCTCCCTGAGCATTGGTCCTGTCCCCACATACACACACCTTTGTACTCAGATAGACTTGGAGGCCGGGAGGAAGGGGACACTTGGCCAAGTCCCCAGTGAGTTGTGTGGGCTACAGAAGCCCTGCTGTGGTCTCTACAACCTGCTCTGCCGGGGAGCAGGCTCCACCGCTGTCCAGCTCTGTCCTTGTGGACACTCTGGATAACCAGATCAGGAGCCTCTCTGGGGCTTCTGGGAGACTTGCAGGCCTGAGGCAGGAGGAGCCCAGTGCTGCTCCCCGTCCAGTGACGTCACAGAGCCGCCCCCAGCCCATTACCTCAGTGGGAAGTGACAGCTAATGAGACCCCAAGGGGGCCCCTGGTGTGCGTCAGTCTGTGCCCCCTGCCCCTGGGACCCTCTTTGCCCCTTTGTGTCGGTGAGGGGACTCTTGCGCTCCTACTCCCAGTGCCCCCTTGCCGGCACCCTTGAGGGTCGCTCAGGCCCTGCGCCCGGCGGCAGCTGAGCTGATTCTGTGTCCTTCCAGGCTCCAGCGTGTTCAAAGGGCCGTTCTGTTTCGGTTTGTAGACCTGGCCTTGCCGTGTAACCCTCCACCCTTCTGTCTCTGCTTCCTGAGATGACTGGTGTGCTCTAGCGGTGTGGCTACATGAGCCTGTGCCTGTGGGTCACCAGGGCACTGGTTAGGAACATAGGTATCTGGCCACCTTGGGTGGGGACAGAGCCCGCGTGCTGCCCCCCTTCAGGTGCGCTGGGCCCCCAGGAGGACGTGTGAGCTGGATGTGCAGTGTGCGAATGGTCTGCCGTGGGACTGCGTGTCCACTGGTGCGCCTGATCGCTGTGCGCTGGTGGCTCGCAAGCTCTTGAGTCCCTAACGCCTTCGCCTGGCTGTTGAGAAATTGATGAGCTCTAAACCTATATTTATTTTTATTAGAACATATTGTAATTAATAGAAGATAAATCACGCACTATACCACCTCACAGTTTTCTGGTCTTGATTAAATTGAGGCAGCGCTTTAAAGATATTTTAAAGAACAGAGGCCGCGTCGCAGGGCCAGCTGCTCAGAGAGCGCGACCATTACTACTGTGGGTCCAAAGAGAGCCCAGGGCCCCTCCTGCTACACCGACCCTAAAGGCCAGAAGGCCCCTGGAAAGATGCAATGCTGGGGACTCCCTGGTCCCCCACCCCCTGTGTGTGGCGCAGCTGAGCTGGCTCCTGCCAACCTGAGCCGTGTCACCCATGTTCACATAGAAGAGTGACACTTCACTGATGCTCAGGTGGTGAATAGAGAAGCTGAGGATCAAGGGAGACAAAGCCCAAACCACAGGGCCTCCATGGCTTGGGTGGTGGGGTGCACGGCTGGGCCCCCATCTCCTCCCGCTGCCCCCTGGATCTGGGGGCCACAGCTTTGCCGCCTGAGCTGCTGCTCTGAGCTTTCGCACCTCAGGCCCTTGGGCCCTGCCATGCCTGCTCTGGCCTCCTGTCCCCAGCCTGGGCAGCGTCACATTCTGTCCACGCCATGTCCCAGACCTTGTGTGCACCCCAGAACGCCCTGTGAAGCTGTTCCAATGCAGACCCCCGGGCCCCTGGTCCAGATGCCCCCCATTTGGCTCCACACCCCACGGTTCCCCAGGCTGTGACTCCTGCCCACCCGTCAGCCTGCTGTAGTGCTGCGACCCACGGAGAAACACAAGAAAGTGTGTGCCGTGCAGCGTGGAGGCAGGCTGGCAGAGCCCAGCTGGAGCGCAGGGCCCAGGCAGGCTGCAGTCTCTGTTGTGTCCCCTGCAGCGGCCGTGCGGCCCAGGACCCCCAACGCACCCCAGCCTTGCATCTCTCTCTCTCTCTCTTTCTCTCTCCAGCTCAGGTGCCAGACAGCGATGAGCAGTTCGTTCCTGATTTCCACTCGGAAAACTGTAAGTCAGCCAGGGAGCTGGAAGTGGGGGCGGGAAGGGCTGGTCTGGGCCACCCAGCCTGGGGCTGGGACTCGGGACCAGGGTCAAGAGGGAGGAGATGACCTTGGGGCCCACCTGCCCCAAGTCAGGTCAGGGGCTAACCCTGCCTGGCTGACTTCAGGGTGGACGCTGTCCTGCTCTGACCCTCCTTGGAATGAGGGTGTGAGCAGGGCCAGGCTGCTGTCCTCACTTCCCGCCCACCCTGGGGACAGCTGACCGTGCCTGCAGGCTGCCTGGTCTGGGTGCCCCTCGTGCTCAGTCAGCCCCCCTCAGTGACAAACTGAAATGGGGCCCAGCGTTGGTAATGTCACTGTTCAGAAACACTGGCTTCATGACTGCTGCTCTGCTGTGAAGAATCAGCCACAGCGGGCAGTGGATCTGCAAGCTGGGGCATCTGCTGTGGCCTGGCTCACGTGGGCAGCCGTGCCCAGTGGGTTACAGGAAAGGCTGCGTTCTACACGGATAATTGGGAGCATGTGTCTAATGTCACTCAGCTGACATGCAGCTGGGCCCCAAGCAGGAGAACAGGCTCCTCCCTTGGAATTTCCCAGGGCACTGAGGAAACCACAGACCCCAAGCGGGAGGTGCTCACTACCTGAAGGAGCTTTCTGGGGTCTAGGGCTGCAGGCAGGGCTGCACTTTATTTTAAAATAGGCAGTTTCCTCGGTTAATAGTGGGTATTAGCCAGTGGGGCTTGAGGGTACATGCCTGTCATCCCAGCACTCCCAGGAGGCTGAGGCAGGAAGGCACTGTCTCAAAATAAAAGAGGTCTAGGGATGCAGGTCAGTGTGAATTACACTAACACCAAAACATTCTTCAAACACCTGACCCTGGTCTCAGAACTGAGCCCCAGGGAGGAGGAGCTGCACGGGGGTCCTAGAGGGCAGGTCCCCAGAGGTCCCCCATGACACCCTGTGGCCTCGCTGTGCCCTGCAGTAGCTTTCCACAGCCCGACCACCCGCATCAAGAAGGAGCCCCAAAGCCCCCGCGCAGAGCCCGCCGTGTCCTGCAGCCGGAGGCTGCCGCCTCCCTACCACCATGGCGAGCCGTGCCTTTACTCCAGGTGAGGCTGGGTTGGGATCAAGGAGGGAGGCACCCACGGTGACAGAGAAGTGGAGGTGCAAGTGGCCACAGCCTTGGCGGTGTGAGGGCTGCAGTGTCTGCCCACTGGGCCAGCTGCAGGACAGCAGGAGAGTGCCCCCCTGCCTGCCTCCCTGCCCCGCCCCTCACCCATCTCCCTCTGCCTCCACCCCCCCCTGCCTGTGCCCCCCAGACAAATCGCCATCAAGTCCCCTGCCCCTGGCGCCCCTGGACAGTCCCCCCTGCAGTCCTTTCCCCGGGCAGAGCCGCGGGGTCTCCTGAGGTCCTCCGGGCCCAGCCGGCCCCACCCTGGCCACGAGCTCCTTGGGGAGCACAGGTGAGGGTGCCCATCCCTCCTAGGGGGAGGCAGGACGTCACCCCGGAGTGCTGGCTGGAGTCATCCCGGAGGGCCTAATGCAAGCTTCTCTGCTCTGTTTCCTGCCCACTGCGTCCAGCCCTGTCTTCCAGCAGCCCCTGGACGCCTGCCGCTCCTTCACGCCTTCCCAGGGAGGTTCTGGGGACCCCCTGGCAGCCCCCTACCAGCACCCACTGCCTGAGACCTGCCCGCCGTACCCGCACCAGGGCTTCAAGCAGGAGTACCACGACCCCCTGTATGAGCAGGCGGGCCGGGGCGGGCTCCGCGGGCACAGGTACCCAGGGGCAGGGGTGGTAATCAAGCAGGAGCAGACTGACTTCGCCTACGACGCAGGTGAGAGGCCCTCCCTCTCCCACGGGGCTCCTAGCTTCCCATGCTAGCCACCAGCTTGGGAACTCACCCAGCTCAATTAGAAGGCCTAGATACAAAGGCAGCTAGCTAGCTGAGTGTGGGGGCAAGGGCCTGGCATCCGGCACTCCACGCCCGCGGCTGGAGGAGCACAAGTCCGAGCCCAGCCTGGGCAACATAGCGAGACCCCGACTAAAAATAAAAAAGAAAAGGGCTGGGAGTGTAGGTCCTGGGTTCCATCCCAGCAGACCACCGGAAGTGAAGGCGTTGGCTTCTAGCAGGTATTGGGGTTTCAGTTACCCAAGACCAAGGCTGGGAGCTGGGAGAAGGATCCTGGGGATGGGGTGAGCAGGATGTACCTGCCCGTGGCCCCTGTACCACGGAGGGACCTGAAGGGAGGACGCCCGTCTGGCTCACACTCCCAGGGCCCAAGGACCTTTCCAAAGCCTGCTGCTGCCCAAACTGGGGTGCCCAGGCCGGGTGGCTGTGAACCCCACTTTCCCCCACTCGGCCCAGTACAACCACTGCCACCCTCCTGGCCAACCCTCTGAGGATGGCCCCTTCCCCAGTGGCCCTGGCCTCTAGGGTCGGCCCAGCCCGGGCGGCCGGGCCGAGAGGTGGTGGGCGGAGGCGGGCTCTGCCCTGACCTCGGAGGCGGCAGACCCGGATCGAGTTACCGCCCTCCTCCCGGTCTGAATGGAGTCAGGAATTCCATTCACAAAATGGAGGATGAATGGAGCCGGCCCCGCCCCCCGCGGAGGCGTCGGGTTTCAGCTCCTTCCTCGTGGGAGTGGAGGGGAAGGAGGCGGAAGGGTTGGGACTCGATCCGAGGCCTCCGAGGCTGCGGCGGGAGGTGTCCTGACCGCGCAGGGAATGAGGTGTCTGCTGGGCCGGAAGCAGCCCGGAGGCGCGCCCTGCCTGCGCACACGCGCGCACACACACACGCACACACACGTGCGCGCGCTCACGCGCACCCCGGCCCGGGCGGGGAACCTGACCTGCCGGCCGGACGCGCATCCGTTCCAGTCCGAGGGCGTCCCAGGCCGCGGACACCGTACTCCCTCCCCGGAGGTCCCTGTCGCCCCCTCGCGCCCCTGGCACACAGGAAGCAGCTGCTCGCGGAATCCGGGCCCTGCTGTGCCACTCCAGCCCTTGAGCCCGGGCCGGCCGGCTGCGGGGAGGCGGCGGCGGCGGGCAGGCAGGGGAGGAGCGCCCTCCCGGCCCGCTGACCGCCCTGCTCCCCGCAGATGTCCCGGGCTGCGCCTCGATGTACCTCCACTCAGAGGGCTTTCCCGGGCCCGCTGCAGGTGACCGAGCCTTTGGTTAGGCAGCGCCTCCCGGGTCACACCTGCCGGGAGGGAGAGAGGGACGTGGGGTCCCAGGGCCGCGAGCCCTCGGGATGAGCTGCCCCAACTTCCTCCCCAAGGTTATGGCTATGAGAAACCTCCGCGACATTTCCCAGATGATGTGTGTGTCGTCCCTGAGAAATTGGAAGGTCAGAGAATGACTGCGAGAAGGCTCTCCTCTGCCCTCTCGCACTCCTCGCGGGAATCCCCGTGGTGCAGGCCAGGTCCCGGGGTCCCCTGGGGAGTGGAACAGCCTGGCTGGGGACCCAAAGAGCAGGCTGCACACCTCCTTCCTCGGTGTCCCCAGGGGACATCAAGCAGGAGGGGCTCGGGGCGTTCCGTGAGGGGCCGCCCTACCAGCGCCGCGGCGCCCTGCAGCTCTGGCAGTTTCTGGTGGCCTTGCTGGATGACCCCTCAAACGCCCACTTCATCGCCTGGACTGGCCGGGGGATGGAGTTCAAGCTGATTGAGCCCGAGGAGGTGGGTGCCCTGATGCCCCCAGCCCAGCCACCACCGTTGCCACTGCCTCCCCCGCTGGCTTCCCCCAGCCACATTCTCCCTGCCCGCTTTCCTCCACCCTAGAGCTGTCCTTTCGGTCTCCAGGTGGCCCGGCTCTGGGGCATCCAGAAGAACCGGCCGGCCATGAACTATGACAAGCTGAGCCGCTCGCTGCGGTACTATTACGAGAAGGGCATCATGCAGAAGGTCGCTGGGGTCCAGGGCAGGGCAGGATGGGTGTGGGGCGCCACCTGGCAGGGTCCAGGGTGGGTGGGATGGGCAGGGGGCGCTGCCCAGCAAGGTCCAGGAGCAGAGACCAGGCAGCCTCGTGGTTCCCAGCTCAGAAAAGCGCTGAGTGGTGACAGAGGCCCGATAAACTGTGGAGAACAAAGACGGGCTTTCAGGTCCCTGGCCCCTGGTGCCCCACCCTCACACAGGGCCGCTGCAGGGCTGACAGGGCCCTCTCCCCACAGGTGGCGGGGGAGCGCTATGTGTACAAGTTCGTGTGTGAGCCGGAGGTCCTCTTCTCCTTGGCCTTCCCAGACAATCAAAGGCCAGCTCTGAAGTCTGAGTTTGACCGGCCAGTCAGCGAGGAGGACACGGTCCCTTTGTCCCACTTGGATGAAAGCCCTGCCTATCTCCCAGAACTGGCTGGCCCTGCCCAGCCCTTTGGCCCCAAGGGTGGCTACTCATACTAGCTGCCCACAATGCCTAGCCACAGTGGGTGCTGCCCAGGTAGACAGGAAGCCAAGCCCATGGCCCAGGGTGGATACCATAGCTCCCTGGACCCACTGCTGCCAGGCAGGACCGGCCCTAGAGGAGGATCTGGGAGACCCCACCCTGGAGCTCGGCTCAGCTGCCGCCTCATGCCGAGGACCAAGGGGCTCCCAGCTCACCCTGGCAGTGGAGCCTGGGGTCCCCTGAGCTCCCTGCTCACCTGGACTCCGTCCTGCCCAGGATGTGGCCCTGAAGGGTGTTGCTGCCTGCCATTGGTGCTGCCTGGGGCAGGGCAGGACCCTGGGGTGCTGTGGCCAGGGGATGGGCTCCTCTGCATCCAGCAACCCTAATAAAGGCCCTGCCTCCCTGAGTGTGGCTGCTCTGTGCTCCCCGGGCAAGTAACGGCACGCGCATGGAGAGGGGACATTTGCCCAGTGCCCAGCGCCGTCTGCCTCTCCCTCCTGAGCAGTGGTCAGGACTCTTGGTGCAGTTCCCCTGTGGAAGAGGCAGGGCTGCCCACAGTGGCACATCCTCCCCATGCTCCGCTATAGTCTCCCAGAGACAGGATGTGTGGAGAGAGCTGGGCCCTAGGAGACGGGTGCCATTTCCCTGGGACGAGGCCGGGCGGATCAGCATTGTCCAGGCCCGCAGAGAGCAGGAAAGAGTGGTGCAGGGGTGGGAGGTGCTCAGTGGGTGTCACCAGGCTCCGATGGGGCGGGGCAGCCTGCAGCATGTGAGAACCTCCACCCCTGTGCTGCTGGGTGTGGAAGCGCGCCATAATCCAGCCCTCATGAGGCTGAGGGAGGATCGCTGGAGTTGAGACCAGCTTGGGCTACAAAGTGAGCTCAAGGCCAGCCTAAAGCGGTACAGCAAAAACTCAAAAAAAGAGCAAGTGTAGAAAGTCAGTTTTATTTTTTCTTAAAATATATAATTTAAGTCCACTTGAAAGGGGGCAGTCAAGGATGCCAGGGTGAGGGTGGGGAGAGGCCTCGGGTGTGCGCTTCCCCACCCCAGCTGGGCGAGGGCGAGGGGTGCCTACGCAGCCAGGCCGAGTGACCAAGACTTGAACGCTGGAAGATCCAGCCTGAGACCCACGTGGCATTCTGTATGAGCGCTGCATGCCACCTCCCAGCCCGTCTACTGCCACCATGGACGGCAGAGCCCTCAGCTCTGTAGGTGGCCAGCCAGCCACATGGGATCCTGACAAGTGGGGCGGGGACGCCCCAAATTCAAGGTCAGCACAGCCAACTCCATGAAGCTCTCTCAAAGAGGGCTTGGGTGCAGCTCCCTGGGTTCTACCCACAGCGGTCTCCTTAGGCTGTGGGCTGGGCTCGGGCAGCCTGGCATGGGCAGCCTGGCATGGGAGACCAGGCAGGGAGAGGCCTTCGGGGCTGCACTCCACAGCCCCGGAGCTGTGTCTGGTGGTCTTTCCTGCTGCGCGCTGACAGCCAGCCTCGGCCTCCTTGGGCATTAGCCTCCCCAGAGACAGTGCTGCAGGACCTACTGATGGGCATATGGGCCCATCCCGTGTCCCCCTGGGCATGGCCTTGGCTTTTTAGGGGCGGCAATGGCTATTGCTCAACAAGCCAAGGAGAAAACCCCAGCGACCAAGTCGCAGTGCAGGTGTGAGGGCTTTCTGCTGGAGGCAGGGTCCCTGGGCCGCAAACACCCTTGCTAACACCTAGAGCTGCGCCGTCCCTCGGGTGAGGAGCGCTCAGCAGTGCCATCCCACATGGTCACGGTGACTCCTGGGCCCAAATGGCAGCACCAGGACTCAGAACAGGAAGGCTTCGGGATTCCCCACCACACACCACTGGGCAGGGCCACGAGCCAGGCCCTCGGGCGTGTGAGCCCAGGATTACAGCCTTCTGCTAAAGACAGGCACAGGAAGCCATGCTCATTTCCTTAAGAAAATAAATATTTCCAGGTGACATGGGAGGCAGGGAGGGGCGGGGCAGAGGCGTGGGGGATGCCCCCCAAGGCCACACAGGGCTCCTGGTCCTGCACAGGTGGGGGCCGCAGTCCAGCCATGCCAGGCTCCACCCCCGGGGGAAGCCAGAGGAGCAGGGCCTCCACGCAAGGGTGGGGTGTGGGCCTAGCCCTCAGCGCCGCCGGAAGGCCCTCGAGATCCTCCAGGCGTTGGGCTCCTCATAGCGATTGTACAGGGGCTCCAGGCGCTGCTGCTTCTTCTGCTTGCTGAGTTTGGTGGGGTCGGAGACCTTGAAGAAGGCGGGTGCGAATTCCACCAGCCAGCGCGGGTCGATGGTGGTGACTTCACGCATGTACTCCTTTGTGGTCAGCACCAGCTCATGGTACACCACCCTGCTCAGCAACAGGACAGCACTCAGCCCTGACCAGCCTGCCCTGACCCCAGACACTGGTCTGGGGACAACAGCCTCACCTGCCCGCAGCCTGTACCCCTCCTACAGGGGTACCGGGTTCTCTTGGGGTAAGCCCAGCGAGGTGGCCCTGAGCCCACCACGCCTATTCTCTGACCCTAGTCTTTTAATCAGAGTTCTTGGATCCTGAACAAGGACCCCCAAGTGCTAGGGAAGGACAGGCAAGGCCCCAACCTTCCACAACAGTGGCACGGAAATTTTGTTAGCTTTACACTGGAGCTCTGAGGAGAGCCTGACTTTTTGTTTTGTTCTTGAGCCAGACTATCCCTGTGTGGTCCAAGCTGGCCTCCAACCTGCCTCTGCCTCCTAGCCACTGGGATGATGGGCATGCCACCGCAGCAGGCTGGGTGAGCAACTGTTTATTTTTTTATTTTTTTCTGGCTGAACTGGGGATTGAACTCAGACCCTTGTGCTTGCCAGGGAAGCACTTAAGTCTACTGAGCCATCTCCCCGGCCCTTCAGCTGCTTTTTAAATGTTGTCCTGCAAAGTCCAGAACAGCCTCACCAGGTGCCCTCAGAGGCCCCGCACTCCAGCCAGGCTTCCCTCCCTGCCTCCCACTGCACCGCAGGACCCTGCGTGGCCTTGCAGGGGAGCCCCCATGCCTCTGCCCTGCCCCTCCCTGCCCTCCACTGGACCCAATCCCTACTTCTATTGGGATCAGTGACACCAGGACAGGGGTGGGGGCGATGAAGACGGGGACAGGGCAGGGAGCCCTGGCCCTGGGGCCACACTTACCACTCAGGCTGCCGGTTGAAGAGGGCGCTGGAGGGGTGGATATAGACCACCTGCTGGTCGATGAGCGTGCGGTAGCCCTCCTGCGGGTCTTTCTTGGCCGCGTTGCGGAAGAAGCCGCTACAGATGGCCTTCTGCACACGCACTGTGGACTTGCCGCAGGACACCACGTCCAGCTTGTGCCTGGCAGGGAGAGCCGGCAGAGCTGTGAGCCCCTCCTGGGCGCAGGGCCCCGCCCGCCGCCCAGCACCAGCAAAGCACACCCCTGCCGCACCTGTCCATGATACCCAGCATCTGCTTGCGGATGTCCTGCGCCCGGCGCAGGGAGCGCGCCTGGATGAAGTTCTCGTAGCACCAGGGGTTGGAGAATTTGTTGTTCTTCCAAGAGTTGTACACAGCCAGCAGCGTGAGGTGGTCACCCTCGGTCTGGTGGAACTTGGCCTTCTTCTGGTCAGCAAGGGCTTGCTTGTCCTGTGAGCGGGCGGGGCAGTCACCTTCCGCCCCCTCCCCCCGCGCCCGGCCCCCAGCGCCCAGCTGCCCCTGCCCCTGTCACCTTGGGCCGGTAGAAGACGTTCTGCACGGACAGCATGGACACGATGGTCAGCATCTCCTCGCTGCAGCCCAGGTGCACCGACATGATGAGCATCTTGCACAGCATCGGCTCCAGTGGGAACTCCGCCATCTGGGGAGGGCGAGGCGCTCAGAGCACGGCCGCCAGGGGCACGGTGCCTGCACCTCCCCAGAGAGACTGACGGAACTCGGAGCCGAGACAGGCCCCACCGAAGGGGGAACTGGAAGGGTTCAAGGGGGGGCCCACGGCCCTGACCAGTGGCCGAGTCTCCCTATGAAGAAGAAATGATGTGGAACAGCCCACTTTTCGGACCCCCCATCTGTCCTTCCCAGAGAGAAGCTTGCTTCCTCTCAGTACTGCATCTCACACTCAAAACCACAGAGCCATGATGGGAAAAAGCAGTTCCGCGAGGCACCAATGCGCCCCACTCCATGCCCCCAGCGCCTGGCCAGCCCCACCAGGTGGGCGCCACGCCCTCACCCTGCGGCCCAGGCGGGTGAGCAGGCCCTCGTCGTCCAGGGCCCCCAGCGTGTAGAGCTGCTCCATGGCTGTGATGAGGGTCTCCATCGGTGGGGCGTCCATGAAGTCGAAGGACAGCAGGTCATTGATGCCCATGGCCTGGGAGGGGACAAAGTGCGTCAGGGGGAGAGGACACGCAGGGGTCATGTGCGCCGCTCCTTCCCTCTCCTCATTTGCAGTCAGGAAGCTGCCAGCGAGGGTAGAAGGCTCTCCAGACCAAGCTGCTCGAAACTCAGGCACAGGACCGCAGGTCCTTCTGGCGTGTCATCCCAGCACTGGGGAGGCTGAGGAAGGAAGACTGCAGCGAGTTTGAAGCCTATCGCGGGCTATGTAGAAAGCATGTATTTTCTCAGGAAACTTGAAACCAGAACCTCAAAATGACAACACACAACCCCCAAACAAAGACGGCAATCGGGTTTACAAATGGGCTAGGACTGAAGGACACATGTCTGCAGAAGGTGGACAAACGCCCCGTGGGCGGGCATGCGGGTAAACGCGGACTGGAGCCACAGTGAACAGTGCATCGGCTGGGGCCAGCAGGGTCCCCCCACGCCGCCCAGGGCACGGGATGCACACACAGGCCACCTCCCACCTACAGGGCGGCCTGAACGGTGGCACAGCGTCCACACAGCGGCAAGGAGTCTGCGCAGCCACACACCGCGGCCAGCAGGCGGCGCTGCCCGGCCCGCCAGCGGGGGCAGGAAGCGCCCGCGCCCTGAGGGTTCGCCTCCACCTCGCTAACTCGTGCGCGGGCGGGCGCTGACCGAGCCCCTGTGCTCTGCAGCAGGGCGGCCGCGGATAGCCCCGCCACGCACGCAGGTGATCGTCTCCCCATTCCGGAGCAGCGTGGCGCTGCCTGCGTGGACGGGGCTGCTCCGGGCACCGTCCGGCAACCGCCGCCTCTTCCGAGAGCAGTCAGACGGCTGGGCTGAGCCGGCCCACTGCGGCACTGGTTCTGTCCTCCTAGCTGCGTTTTCACAGATGCTCCTGCCAGTCGCAGTCGGGGGCTAGCGTTGCATGGTGTCACCTTGGGGACAGGCAGGTGTGGGGCAGGCAGCATGCCCAGGCCGGGGACAGGATGGCAGCAACTGCCAGGCAGCTGGCCTACAGGGGCTGGCACGGAAAATCCGGTTCCTGACGAGCCTAACCCTCACCCACCTGTCTCCACATTACCACCTCCTCTCCCCAGCTGCCTGCAGCCGGAAGAGGGGCAACCGCGGGGAAGACCAGGCCAGTCCCCCAAGGACAAGCACCTCCTGGTCCCCCCGTACTCGCAAATGGCATTTTTGGGTACCGTGACTGGAACTCAGGGCCTTGCACCTGCCTGGCAGACACTTGTGAGTTTCCCCAGCCCTGTCTCTATTCCCCGTTGTCCCCTCTTGCAGTTATCCAAGGGCCCCAGCACCCCTCAGTAGGACATGCTGATGTACCCCAAGAGGAGCACCACAAGTTCAAGGCCAGCTTAAGCTACATAGTGAAACCCTGTCTCAAAAAGATGAACATGGGGGCTGGGGAGATGGCTCAGTAGAATAAGTGCTTGCCTAGCAAGGGCAAGGGCCTGAGTTCAATCCCCAGTCCCGCAAAAAAAAAAAGATAAACAAACAATAAATTCTTAAAGATGCGCCTAATGGATGCCTGCTACCACCAGACCTCCTGCTGGTCATGGCGAGTTGCCCAGACCTGCTGCGTGGGTTTGGCAGCCATGGGGACCCGCAGGATGGCGCCCACTAGCTACCTTGAGCGACAGCACAGTGCTGGCCAGGTTGGTCCTCTGGATCTCAGGCACGTTGGTGGTCAGCATCTCGTCGCGGTAGGCACGTTCCGTGTACAGCCGGTAGCACTTCCCGGGGCCCGTGCGGCCAGCCCTGCCTGCACGCTGCTTTGCCTGGGCCTGAGGATGGGGACAAGGCTGTCAGGAGCATGGTCCGCAGCGTCCGCCCCTTCCTTGGGAGCTGTTTCTGAGGGGACTGGTGCCGCAGGCCCCTGCTTCTGCCCAGCACTTGATGAAGCATGAGTGAGTTCACAGACAGAGGTCACCGTGGCTAAGGCAGCAAGGAAAGCGAGCTGAACAAATCCTATTCCAGCTGAAGAGGGTGCCGCAGCCATGTGCCATCAGGGCTGTGGCGCTCGGTGACAGACAGGGTCCTGGGGACTGCGGCTGGGCGCACCGCTTCCTCCCAGGACTGAGGCCTCCCAGCAGGGCTGCAGAAGCCCTCTGCCCTCACGCTGCTGGCCATGGCTGGCCCGAGGGCAGCACACGTGCTGTTTATAGTCAGGAAACTTCACTGCGTAGAGGCAGCAGCACTCTGGTCCGCCAGACGCACACCGAAGCACGCACCGCATCGCAGCAGGGCTGCGCGTGTTTTAGGGAGCGGGAGGAAGGCAGAGCGCCGCAGTGTGGTGTGCAGACAACCGCCAGCTGCTGCCAAGGGCTGGGGCGGGGGTGGGGGGCAGCGGGGACCTGCAGCAGTCCCACGGGCCACAGCTCTACAAGGCACTGGGCGGGCACACGGGCTCAGGCTTGGTCCTCGAGTCCACACGACACCCCGAGAAGCAGGACAGCACGTGCACGGGCACGAGCTGCGCCGGGCCCTGCACACGTGGGGCTGGTGTGAGCTGCTCCCTCAGCGCTCAGGCACGCAGCGCCCTGCCCGCACCCCCCACTACCTGCTCTTGCTATCTGAGCCAGAGCAAAGACGGCTGTGCAGTTTTACCGAGTGCCAATGTGAAGTGGGCCTGGGGTGCATGTCTGTCATCCCAGCACTCAGGAGGCCAAGGCCGGAGGATTCCTGAGAGTTTGAGGCCATCCTGTGCTACAAAGTAAGTTTAAGGCCAGCCTGAACTACACAGAGACCCTGTCTCAAAAAACTGGAAAAAAAAAACAAAAAACCTAAATAAATAGTTCAGCTCTATCCCCAGTACCAGCATGAGGTTTAAAAAAAAAAAAAAAAAAGGCCTATTGCAAAAAATTGAAACAACACATAGAAATACAAGTAAGCCAGGCACTCACTGTAGTCCCGGCACTCAGGAGGCTGAAGCAGGATGCTGTGGGTTCAAGGGCAGCCTGAATTTTACAAGACCTGACTTCAAAACAATAAAACGAACAGTAGAAAGAAAACAAGGCCCATCAAGCTAGGCACGCTGACCCACAACAGTCCCTAGCAGGCTGGGACAGGACTGCAAGTTGGAGGACAGCCTACAGGACTTAGTGAGACTTGCTTAAAAGGAAAAAGAGCTGGGGGTGCAGCTCAGGGGTGTCCCTGTGTTCAAGTCCCAGCAGCGCAAACCCGCAGCATGGCCAGAGAGCTCAGTGACCACAGCTCCGAGGTCTGGGCCTGATTCACCGCAGCTCTGCTAAAGGGCAGCCGCTTGTCACTCTGCATTCAGTAATGGGGATGGAACTCAGCGCCTCGGTGGGGTCTCCCCAAGTCACTAAGCTGCCCCCCACATAGGGCTTGGACCTGCCACCCTCCTGCCTCTGCTGCCTAGGGCAGCACCTCACCCAGTTTGTGTTTGATTTAAACAAAATCTGGATTACACCAACTACATTTTTTCCATACTGGGAATTGAGCTCTTGACCCTAAGCTTGCCGGGCATGCCCTGAGCAGATCCCCGGCAGGCCCACTGTGCTGCAGATCACTTTTCCCAGCACTTCATCACAGCTCCACAGTGCTGTGAAGTGCACACCAGCGTGAAGGCCACGGACCCGGGTCAGGCGCTGTGGTAGGTACCACACCACTGCGCTGAGCACCTCCCAGGCGCCCTTCCCAGTCCTCAGGGCCAGGCCTGCCCTGGGACGGGGCAGCCGGGTTAGGGACCAACTTCTACACCCCCAATACAAGGCTGTCAAACTGCCCTCCGAAAGGGTGATCATGGCCTTCTTTTTTTAAATATAATTTAAGCCAGAAACTACTCCATAATCACCAAGGGTCACTTGTCCATCTCATGAGCTACTGCTAACGCAGGTATGAGCAAGCAGAGCTCCGTAAAAACCTTGTTCTAGCCGGGCCAGGTGTGGCGGTGCACGCCTATAATCACAGCACTAGAGGCTGAAGCAGGAGGATCTGAGTGAGTTCCAGGCCGGTGAGCTACAGAGCAAGACCCTGTCTCAAAAAACACAGGGCCAGCGTGACAGTTCAGTGGACTGAGCGCCTGCGTAGGGAAGCACGGGATCGGGGCTGCTGGCCACTGAGACTGGGCTGATGGCGCATGCCTGTAATCCCAGCGCCGGGGAGGAGGCTCGCTGTCCACAATGCGTAGGGGAGACTCTGTCCCAAATGCATAAAAGGAAAGAAAGAAAGGGAGGGTGGGCGGAAGGGCGGGCTAGGGAGACAGCTCAGCAGCATGCGCATCTGCCCGGCAAGCACAAGGTCCTGAGTTCCATCCCTGGTACCAACAAAGTAATAGTAAGTAAGTTCTTTTCCCCTAAACCAGGTAACCCGGATTTAGGACCCAGCATTCTTCAGCGTTCAAGGGCTGCAGAACCTGGCGATGCTAGCGCTGCTCGAAGCCTGCAAAGGATGGTGCAGCCTCTGCTCCCATCCAGCGGGCCCTGGCACAGCAGGGCCTGGCGTGCGGGCGGGACGCACCTGGGAGATGGGCGTCACCACAAGCTGGTCGATGCCCGTCTTGGAGTTGTAGACCTTCTGCTTCACGAACCCCGGGTCCACCACGTAGTAGATGCCGTCGATGGTCAGGGAGGTCTCTGCGATGTTGGTGGCAATCACGACCTGCAGGCAAGACCGGGACGGAGCAGGTATGGGAGACATCTGCCCAAGGGGTCCCCGCTGTGCCTGCGGGAACCTGTGCCCTCAAGAGGGTCATGATGTGCCCAGCCCTGCTTGGCACCTTCCTCTGAGGGTCAGGCTGGGCATGGGACTCCTCCAGCGGCAGAACAGGCAACAGCTGATCCGAGCCACTTCCAGCCTGGTCTGGCCCCAGCGCCCTAGGAAAGCAGGGTCTAGCAGCAGCATGTGGCAGAGTAGGTGAGCTCTGGGGCACGCGTGGGCTGTGGTGTGTGGGCACAAGAGTGACAGCTATTTGTCCTGGTCATAGAATGAACTACAATGTGGCAAGGAATTTGATGGTTACGTGCGCAGCGACAGCTGTCTTGTCCCAGAGGTGGATGCACTCGGCCTGGCGCTGCTACACCTCTGCCCAGAGGCTCGGGAGCCACATCCCTGGAAAGCAGTGCAGGAGGCACTCGTGCCGCGGGAGGCCAAAGGACCAGGCGCCCGCCTGCCTCCCCAACCCCACTCTCCCCGCAGCGACCCGACCCTCCCTGCTGCGTCGGGTTCCTTGGTTATCCAAGCCCAACTGTCCACTCCTAGGAAAACACCCAGATGGCATGGAAATGCGTGTGCACCAAAACCTGGAAACCAAGCCAGGTGAAGCAGCACGTGCCAGTCATCTCTACAAGCCAGGCGAAGCAGCTGGATCCCAAGGTGAACCCAGCATGAACAACTTAGCAAGACTTTGTCCAAAATAAAACAAGAAAATGGACCAAGACTATAGCTCAGTGTGGTGGTCCTGGGTTCTATCAGAACACACAATGTCACAGTGCTGTCACTCATGCTAAGCCCAGAAGGGAAACTACCCTGCAGCTACAGACAGAGCAGTGGGCGTGTGGACAACAGAACCACCTTTGGCGTGAACAGGAACAGATGGGCCAGGTGTGGGGATGCACAGCTGTGGCCCCAGCACTCGGGGAGGCAGGAAGAGCGCCTTGCGTCCAAGACCACCTGAACTACACAGCAAGACTCGGCCTCAAAAGGACAATAAAAAATTTTAAAAACAAACACTGAAGACCATGCACAGAACAAACTGAGGCAGACACCGGCACCAGGCCGTGAGCCGCACCACGCCATCACGCTGCAGGGCCTTAAGCTCCCGGCAGTGACACCCTCCAGGCCCAGGCAGCCACCGGTCACTGACCTCACCTGCAGGTACCACATGTGTACCACGACTCAGCATCAGGGCAGCAGCGAGGAGGCGCAGGCGCCTAGGCCAGACAAAGGCAAGGGGTCTTGAAGCAGTGGACAGAACCTCCTCAAACCACCTGCCACGAGCACTCCTGCTTGGTCTTTCCAGGGTGCTGAAACTAGGTCCAGCCCTCTTCCTTTGTGTATGCTACCCAGGCTGCAACCTGTTGCCTCAGCCTGCATCCTCCTGCCTCAGCCTCCTACCTCACAGGCCTCACCTCAGGTTTCCTGTTAGTGTAGCGTTAAGCAACAGAGACTCAGGCCTGAGCCCGTATCTTACCAGATGCCCCTATGTTCCTTAAATCCCCCACCCCGCCCACGGTCACACACACTCAGCTCTGGCCAGGCCACGAAGTCGCATGAACCGGCCCCACCACTGCCACACTCCTGCAGGACAGCTGTGACCCTTCCTACATCTGCCAGGTCACTGGGTCACTGTCACAGGATGCAGGGACATGGCCCATGGGGGCACCTGTCCTATGCCCCTGCCTCTGTGTCATACCAGGAAAGCCTGGCACAGCCAGTGCCTACCTGTCACCCCAGCATCTGGGAGGCTGAGGCAGGAGGGTGGCTGCACACTCGAGAACAGCCTGCACTACACAGTGACCCTGACAGCCCAGCAGCGCCCACAGGACAGTGCGAGGAGGTGGACATGCTGGCTGGCCTTAGTCATCCCATCTACGCGTCCATCCCAGCAGCACCCTGTGCCCCGTGAACCTGAGAAATTAAGCGTTATTCTGAAAAGCATGAAACAGGCAGGGAGGGAGAGAAAGCAAAGGCACAGCCAAACCCACCCCTGCAGCAGCCGTGCAGGCCTCACGAACACCGGAGCACGCAGTGCAGCCTCACCTTCCTGCTGCCCGGCGGGGCTGGGTCAAAGATGCGGGTTTGCATCTCGCTCGGCAGGGCGGAGTACACAGGCAGGATGATCAGCTCGGGCACGTCAGGGCCCAGCGACTTCATCCTCTCGTACAGGATCTCACAGGCTGTGTCGATCTCCTCCTGCCCAGTCAAGAAGACCAGGATGTCGCCTGGAGAGCAGAGCAGGGCGTGTGTGCGGGGTGCTGGGCTCGAACTCGCCCCCCCCCCCGCGTGCAGGGAGAGCGAGACACCGCCCCCCCCCCCGCGTGCAGGGAGAGCGAGACACCCCCGCACCACGCCCCCCATTTCTTCTTAAGTTTTCCTGCTGGCTCCAAGTCTCTAAGCTCAAGTGAGCCTCTCACTCCAGCCTCCCACGGTGCCAGGACTGACACACTGCTGTGGAGGTTTAACACCGGGTCTGCGGCAACATTCACAGACTTGGGAGGAGCAGGCAGTGCTTCTTCCTGCCCTTCTGGCCTCTGCGCAGGCCAGGATGTCGTCTGCCTATGTTTGAGACACTGCATTCAAACCCGCACCCCGCAGTTCAGAGATGCAGCTGGAGCCTCGACTGGACCCAGAAGGTGGAGCGGTTTCCAGCTGGTGGTGGTGGTGGCGGCGGTGGCGGCAGCGCACGTCCTTAAGGCCAGGGTGCAGGAGGCTGCGAGCCCAGCCGGGCGGCAAGGTGACTCAGTGGGCCCAAAGTCCTCACAAAGGAAGGAGTGTCGCTCACACGGAGCCCCAGCCCAATCCCCAGTAACACCCACGTGCACAGACGCGCATGCACGCATGCACACGCACACACAGAAAAAGGCAGCTCTGACAGGATCTGCCCCACCTGGTGGCTCGGTGAGGTGGATCTGCATGACGGTGATGAGGCTGGCGTCCAGGTAGTCGGTCTCGGGCTCCTTGGTGTACAGGATCTCCACGGGGTATGTGCGGCCCGGGATGGTGAAGATGGGCGCTTCATAGAAGTACTGGGAGAACTTCACTGCATCCAAGGTGGCCGAGGTGACGATCAGCTTCATGTCCTGCCGCTTCTGCACGGTCTGGGGGTGCAGGGGGTCATGTGCAAGATGACCTCGAGGGCAGATGGGCGCAGGAGCCCCAGGTCAGCAGCCCGGTTCCCTGAGTGACCCCAGGCCCTACACAGCCGGCAAGGGGCACCAGCGCCCAGAGCAGCCGCCCATACCTTCTTCAGCAGCCCGAAGAGCACGTCGGTGTGGATGGTCCTCTCGTGGGCCTCATCCAGCATGATGATGGCGTACTGCGTCAGGTCCGGGTCGATGAGGCACTCCCGCAGCAGCATGCCGTCCGTCATGTACTTGATGACCGTCTCGGGGCTGGTGCAGTCCTCGAAGCGGATGGTGTAGCCCACCTGCAGCGGAACGGCGCGGGACTCAGGGGCTGCGCGGCGCGGGCAGGTGAGGCTTCCACCACACTCGATTTTCTGGACTTTTATGACGCTATATCTGTAGGGTCCAGCCTGGCCTCAAACTCAAGGCAATCTCCGTGCCACAGCCTCCCAAGTGACGGGACGGCAGGTGCGCGCCACCACACCCAGCCTTGAACCATAACCGCTTTTGTCGGTTTTAATTGGTACACTTGAAACATATGTCATGATTACGTTCATCACGGCGGACTTGAGCCTGCACGTGACATATACAGCTGCTTTTATTCCTCCCCTCAACCCCTCTTCCCCTGCTTGTTTACACAGCCTCTTTCCTTCTCCCCTATTTTTTCTTGTCCCCTTTTGCCCTTCCCTCTCACCCTCCTGCTCCCCTTCCCATATGAACGCTTTCTTCCCATTTCCCAGTTCAGGCCTTGAGCTCACTTCGTGGCTAGACTCACCTTGTGATCATCCTCCTGCCTCAGCCTCCCAGTGCTGGGATGACAGGCACACAGGCTTGTAGATTTTTTTATTTTTTTGAGACAATGTCTCACTAGGTAGCCCAGGCTGGCCTTGAACTCATAGCGATACTCCTGCCTCAGCCTCCCGAGTGCTGGGATGACAGGTGTGCGCCATCATGACCAGCCATAATCTTAATAGAGAAGAACTTCACCACGATGCTTAGAATTTTTCTAAGCTGAGATGTGACCCACGTGAATCTCCTGCACAAGCTGAGTCGCTCCTGTCGGAAGCCAGGCACAGCCCCTGGCAAGCCCCTACCTCCTGGCCCAAGCAGCAGCCGAACTCCTCCGACACCCTCTTGGCTACGGACATGGCAGCCACGCGCCTCGGCTGTGTGCAGCCGATCTTGCCCCGGGCCGTGTAGCCGGCCTCAGCCAGGTACTGGGTGATCTGTGTGGTCTTCCCGGACCCAGTCTCTCCGATGACAATGAGGATCTGATTGTCGTGCACAGCCTGAAGGCAGGAGTGGGGGTGGGGGGCAGGGTTACACTCAGCCCCTGCTCTACTACTCCCCCCCAGCACATGTACGACGGACAGAAAGCTCAATGGGAACCACAAAGCTACGGACAGTTCCTCCTGCCAGCACCCCGGCCCCCCCACCTCTCCCCCAAGTTGTTGGCCCACTGCTCCAAGCCGCTGGCTCCCAAGGGCACCCACCTGCACCAGCTGCCCCTTCAGCCTGTAGATGGGCAGCCCCTCCCGCTGCTCCACAATGGACAGCTGTGTCTTCTTGCCATACGATGCCTTGTTGCCGCCGAATGCATGCTTCTTCCACTCAGGAATGTCGCTGGGCATCACCCCGATTCCCCGCATGTTGGCCGCAATCTGCCGGCCTTCGGCTGCAAAGAGACAGCTGCTGGCTAAGTCCTGCTGGGCCCAACAGGTGGCCCTCAGCGCACCCTGGCTCCACTCTGCGGCTCTTGCACTGATGGGGAGAGCTGCAAGGAGGCCCAGCCCAACCCCAGCTTCCTAAGGCCAGCTGAGGTCCCTCGGCACAGCCCACACTTGGGGCCCACGCAAGTCACTGAGCCCTCTTCACCACACTGAGCAGCCACCACCATTACTACTGTCAAAACACTGTTATCTCCCCCAGAAAGGAAGCAGCTCTGCCCCTCCCTTCCCCTGGTGACCTCCAGGCTAACAGTTTCATGACTGACCCCACAGCGTGGCCCGCAGTGCATGCACGTGAGCGCTGAGGGACGCTGAGGCAGGAGGTTTGCAAAATTCTGGTCCTGCCAGGACAACTTAGCAAGACCCTGTCTCTAAACAAAAAGTAAAAAAATAACGGGGGTGTAGTGTGGTGCCTGAGCACCCCTGAGTTCCGACCCCAGTTAACCCTGGAACTTGTGAGAAAGAAAAAAAAAATTGCAGGCATCTGAGGCAGGAAGACCTGTGAGTTCAAGACCAGCCTGGCTACAAAGTGATACTTTGTCTCAAAAAATTTAAACAAAATAAAGCAAAACAGCACTTTAGTGGTGCCTGGAATACACCCCCACCCCCAGGGGTGAGGGTCCGGGCAGCCAGGGAGCTGGCCCCAGGGGTGAGGAGTGCGGTGGGGCGGCCCGGTGGGGGGCCCCTAGCGTGTTTCTGGCCCGAGGCTGACAGTGCCCCACCCACCTCCATCCTCTCCGTGCAGGTTCACCCACACCGCACTGCAGCCCGCGCTGCGCGCAGGACCGGCCATCGGGCTCTGCCACACACCGCACCACCGCCAGCGCCGTGCTACTTCCTCGGGCCTCAGACTCCCACAGCCCCTCAGGAACCCCTCACCTCCCCAGGCGGGGACACAGCCAAGGAGCTGGGGGGTGTCATCGCCTCTGAGCTCGGAGGCTGAGGAGGGCGCGCACCGCAACGTCTCCCTCGCAGCTGAGCCCCCAGCCGCCCGCACAAAGCAGCACACGAGGTCCGGGGCCTGGAATCAGCGGAGGCCTGCTGCGCAAGGAGCCCCACGCAACGCAGGACTTGAGGCTACTGCACTTGTTTCTTTTCTGTTTTGTTTTTGTGGTATTATACTAGGACTATATCCCAGCCTTTCATTTTTTATTTTGGGACAGGGTCCTGTTTAGTTGCCCAGGCTGAGCCTGAACTCATGCTTCTCCTGTCTCGGCCTCTAGAGAGCAGAGGTTACAAGCAGCCACCACCATGCCTTCGTGTTACCTTTAGAATAAAATAATAATAAAAATAATGGGGGAAGTTTAGACGAGGTCTCACTGCGCAGCCCGGGTGGCCCTGAACTTACAGTAACCCACCTGCCTCAGAGTCCTAAGTGCTGGGACTGCAGTGTGTGCCACCACACCTGGCTTGAGAGTAACTCTTTTTTTTTTGTCTTTTTGAGACAGGGTTTTGATACATGATTCAATCTTTTTTTTTGGCGGAACCAGGGATTGAACTCAGAGTTTTGTGCTTGCCAGGGGAGCGCTTGTTCTACTGAGCCATCTCCCCAGCCCCTTGATACGCAATTCAAGCTGGCCTTGAACTCACAAAGATCCTTCTGCCCCAGCCTCCTGAGACCTGGGATTGCAGGTGTGCATCACCATCCCCAGCTAGAGTAACAGTTTTCAAACGTTATTTAGAAAAACAAAATTCAGCCAACTTAGAAGGTGACCAGGATTAACGTAGACGCGTTTTGTTCAGTTTCCAACTGCTGTGTAAAAAGTGAAAGAAGGCAGCCCGCTCTAGCGGGAAGGGCGCCTGAGGCCGCTGTCCCCACGCCCTGCTCCCCGCGCAGTGGGTCCTACCGTCTGGCAGGGGGTCCACCCAATGCTTGTGCAGCCCCATGGGGATCGAGTCCATCTCCGCCTCGCGCTGCGCCTGCTTGAGCTCACGCCGCTCCTTGGCCAGAGCGCTCTGCATCATGGCCGCCTGCGACAGGGAGCCGTCGGGGTTCTGCAGGTGAAAGGCAGGCGTCACCCAGGCCGTGGCCGAGCAATGCCCCCCTGGACACAGGCCACGTGGAGCAGAAAGGAGTGGGGACAGGTACAAGGGAGCTGGGCGCAGAGGTGAGGACCCAGGCCAGGGCAGTGCCGCCTCACGGTGTGAAGGTGCTGGGGCTTCCATCCAGCCCTGCAGCCGCGGGGGCAGTGCAGGGAGGCGCCTCCACCTGGACCGGCTCCCTGCTGCCCCAGCCCTGCAGCCCCGCAGCTCCAGGACGGGACACGGCGCTAGGCCCAGGACTCGGGGGCTGCTGGCCTGTGCCCCACAGCCTCACCTTCACGATCTTGATGGGGCTCATATCCATGCTCTGCTTGGTGTGGCCCCGCAAGAACGGGGGCTCCTCCTCCACCAACTCGATCTCCAGGTCCTCATCTGGGTCCGGATGGAAGAGGGGGCCACACGTGGAAGAGAGGGACAGTCACTCGCTCTGCTTGGAGCCCCAACTACTTCCCCAGAGGTTCCAGGCAAGGGCAAAGCAAGGGCCTTGCACCAGTGTCACCCTCCTCCTGGCACCTCGCCGAGGCCCAAGAACAAAGCAAGCAAGAGAACGCTCTGGAGAGGAAGCTCCGCCTGCAGGGAAACACTGCTCCGCACCCACAGACTCTGCTGTCGTCAGGCACTGTCCCCTACTTCATGACGAAGAAATTCTTAACCCACAGCTCAGGAGCTAAAAACCTCTTCAAAATTAGTTGGAAAGCCAGGCATAGTGGGCATACCTATCATCCCACATGCAGGAGGCAGAGGCAGGACAACTGCTGTGACACGGAGCCAGCCTGGGTTGCACGGCCAGCCAGACCCTGTCTCAAAGCACCGTTTACCCCTAAAGGTTACTTGGGAACAGGACCACTGGGGCACCGATCCCAGCGCTGGGAGGCTGAGGCAGGAGACCCTCAGGCTTCCACCCTGCCCAGGCCCCTAAGCAGGCCGTCTTTAACAGGAAAGAACGACTGAGGACACAGCTCAATGCAAAGCAGCTCCCAGCACAGGAAAAAAGGAGAAGAGGCCAGTTGGTGCCTGCTCCCAAGAAAGGGACCGCTCAGCAGGCCCTGGGGCACCCCTACCAGCCGCCCCCACTTCCTGGTGCTATGCACACTGAGGTACGCTCTGGTCTCGGCCTCAGCTCACAACTAAAGTCATGGGCAGATGTTCTGAGAGCAGGGACTCGGACTCGCTCAGACAGACCCGGGGTCTGCAGAGAGGACACACTTACTCCCACTAACACAAGCACTGTGACCATCCACACCCTGAAATGCAGGCAACAGTGTGACAAACAACGGTCACGCCCACCAGCCTTCTGCTTCTGCCCAGAGGGACCCAGAGGGAGCCAGGTGGCGGCGCAGGCAGGCTGCCAGGCTCAGCGGGCTAGGAGCTACCTTCCTCATCGTCCACCTTCGGGAGGATACCGGTCTCTTCATCGAAGTCTGGAAACTCCTCTTTGGAAAGGACGTTGGCCGCAATCATCTAAGCCACAGAAAAGAGGTGACACTGTCACTCACTGGACTGGACTGCAATCCCAGGCGGCAGCTACAGACCTGCAGGAACCGGGGAATCCGCCTCCTCCAACCTGGACACCACACGGCCCCTCCCGCGGCCGGCCCGCAGTGGCGGCCAGAGTTCCCCAGGGCCTCCGCTCCTGCCCACTACGCTGCCCGCACAGCACCTGCGCCGGTGCCAGCCCTGACCTGCTTGATCTCCCACTTCTCGGGGTCCGAGATGCGTGTGAGACGCTTGCGCTCCAGTGAGTCATCCTCCACCTCAGGAGCGCTCACAAGTGACAGGTGACTGGGTCTGTCCGGGTTCCGCATCGAGGTCTCCTCATTGGTCTCCCCGACCAGGTTCCTCCGGCGATTGGGGTTCAGATCCTCCCCACTCTCCTGGTCCACATCCTAGGCAGAGCACAGGGCACTGGTCCCCTCTGCCCTCCTGTCCCCGCCACGCCAGCCCCCGCCATGCCTGCCTGTGGCCATGCACACCCACCTTCATGCTCAGGCTAGTCTTGGTCCCGGTGAAGGACAGCACTTTGACCTTGACCCGCTGACCTTTGCTCACCACGTCCGCCACGTTGGCCACACGGCCCTCCCGCCGCAGCTCCGAGATGTGCACCAGGCCTTCCCAACGCTTCCTGAGGAGAGGGACATGGCTGGGCACCCTGGTCCCCGTCCCACTAGGGCTACCCCACCAGGCACTACAGAGCACCACAGTCTTGCCAAGAGCCATGGGCAGCTGGAGCAGGTCGGGCTCAGTCCTGGGCACTGAAGGCAGCCAGGGAGGGAGGAAAAAGCAAAAGAAAACACAAACGGAAAGAAAAGTCTTACTCTCACAACAGAGAAGTCAAACAATCCCAAAGGAGGGGCTCTCTCTGCCACCCATGCAAGGGAGAGGCCCTGGCGGCAGAGGGACATCCTCTCCCACCTGGGAAGGGAAGGTGGGAGCCTGAAGGCTTCTCGGAAGGAAGGAGGCGTGCTCTGGGACACCAGAAAAAAGATGCTGAGGGTGGCACAGGCTTGTGCCCCAGGAGGTCGAGGCAGGGAGATCATGAGTTTGAGTCCCACCTCAGGGACTCAGTGAGAGCCTGTCTCCAATTAAAATATAAGGAGGACTGGGGATGCATCTCAGCACCAAGGCTGTGGGTTCGATCCCCTGCATGGGAAAAGCAAGCGTCAGCTTCTGAGTACCTCACAGCACTGGTGACAAGATCAGCACCTACCTCAGCCCTTCCAGCTGCACGAAGCAACCGAACTGCATGATGCTCGTGACCTTGCCGTTGTAGATGTCCCCGATGGCTGGCTCCTCGGGTGGCGGGCGGTCCACATGCTTATCCCGCCACCTGTCCACGCTCCTCTCCCCATACTTGTCCCGGGGCTCCTTGCGCTCCTTGGGGGGGCTCTGGCTCCTGCTTCTGGACCGGTACCTGGACTTCCCTTTATTCCGCTCCCGGGTCCGGGAACGCGAGCGGGACCGGTGCCTGCGCCTGTGGTCTCTGTCTCTGTCTCGCTCCCGGTCCCGGTCCCGGCTCCGGCTCCGCTTCTTCTTCTTGGTCTTGTCCCTGGTAAGTCAACAAGGGTCTATTTGGAAAAGAAATACCCCAGACCTCATGGCTACACCCCAGGCCCTAGCACAGTGCACACACAGCATATAGGAGGCCAGGGCTGAGCTGGGGTCAGCCCATGACCCCCGAGCGCCCCTTCTGAGCCATTGGCCCTGCTGCAGACACACCCCAGCACAGTGCCCCGCTGGCCCAGCTCCTACTGCCTCCCGCATTCTGTCTGACTCGCCCACAAAATGAGCCGGCGCAGCACACCCCAGCTTCCAAGGACAGGGACCCAGTGACAGACCGGTGCTCCGTGTCCCTCGGCTTCTCCTGGCCTGCGGCGCTGGGCATCAAGGCCTCCAGCTCTTTCAGGACATCCACAGCCACCTTCACGTCCTCTTCGTCCAGCATGGTCTTCAGGGGCAAGGATACCGCGAGAATCAGCACTCTGGGGACAGCTGCTGCCAGCAGCCCCGCGTCACTGCCACTTACGTGACGGATGGGAATCCCCCCACTTGGCGGAGACCTGAGTGACTGCTTCCCCAGGCCAGGGCCCCTGCCCCCACAGTCCTCTGGGGGCACCAGCTGCGTAGGGCGAGCACACCCTGGCTTATGATTCCCACAGCACCACCCTGCGCCACTGCCCCACAGTCCTGCAGTCTGCAGATCACAGGCTCTGGGAGGACAAACTGTGACTGTGCAGACTCTGTACGACAGGATACCCTACAGCACCGTATAACAACTCACAACTGGCTACACTGCATAGCTACACAGTGGCTACGCTGCACTGGCTACTACAACCCACGGAGACGGCAGGAGGCACAGAGATGAGTGTGCGTTAGGTCAGGGGCAAAAACCACACCACTTTCTTCTCCATTTTTGTTTGCTGTTTTGAGATAGGGTCTGGTTAGGTAAGCCAGGCTAGCCTCAGACATGCAAGGATCTCATGTCTCAGCCTCCCCCTCCTGCTTCTGGGAAGACAGGTGCCCGGCGTGCTGGCTGCCATACCATTTTATGTAGGGGACTTGAGCATACACCGGCTTGGGTCTGAGGAAGCCCTGGAACCCAGCTCTAGGATCTGGGGCTTCTGTGCTGTTGTCTCCACACCGCCTGTCTCTGTCCCACTGGGCCACTTCTGTGTCCCAGCCCATGTGTCATTCCACCACTAGGACAGCTGGGCAGTGCTTGGCAACAGGAGGTACTCAAATACTTAACAAAGTCAAAGCGAAAAACAAAACACCTCAAAACTTAGACCTCCTAGTGCCTGACAGCCAAACTCTTCCACATCACACTCGGCACAGCACTTAGTGCCCAGGTCGCAGCGGCCTCGCTCCCGAGCCCCGTGGGGCCTGTGTGTCACCCCACGCGCAGCTGTGCTCAGAAGGAGCCCCGCTTTCACTTGGAAGAACACCATAAGCTTCAAATGAATGAGTCACACCTGGCGAGGTGGCACACACTTGTCATCCCAGCACTCGGGAGGCCAAGACGAGAATCCCACAAATTGCAAGCCGGCCTGGGCTACAGAGTGAATTCAAGGCCGGCCTGGACTGTATAGCAAGGTCAAGTCTCAAAAAACAACAACCATAAGCAAAATTAAAAATTAAAACTTCAGGGGCTGGAGAGATGGCTCAGTGGTCTAAAGCACCTACTTGAAACAAGCTTGGCAAAGCACAGGGACCGCGGTTCGATCCCCAGCACCACATGCCAGCCAGCCCCGCCCCCTGGTGGACTGAGCTGGCCACACACACACACACACACACAATAAATGTAATAAATAAAAATAAATATTAAAAAAAAAAAGGCAAAAAAAAAAAAAATTAAAAAAAAAAACTTCACAAATCACAAAGGCCACCCACGCAGAGCTCCGTACCCGCACGGCAGGGTTGTCGGGCTGGCAGAGCCCTGGGAACAGCTCCTTCAGCTTGTCCTTCTCGGTCTTGGGCTTTACAACTGGATCTAATTCCATCCAGGAGCAGGAAGGGGAAGATAACAGGAAAGAGTTAAAAGGGACATACCTAACGGGATTGGCTATCGCAATGACTTCAACACAAGCCTGCGTTGCGCTGTGTGCTCAGTACACAATTACTACGAGCGTAACTTAAATTTTCTAAACACACTGACTCCACCACCCTCGGCAAGTCTCCCAGTTCTCTCCAGGGAGGGGATATATCCGTACATCTTAACTCTGTAATCCCAGCACTCTGGGAGGCTGAGGCAAGAGATGTAAGTTTGAGCCCAGCCTGGGTGACTCAGCAATTGGGTGAGACCCTGTCTCAGAATAACAAAGGGCTGGGGATGTCACTCAGTGCAAAGGCCCTGGGTTCAATCCTCAGTGCCACCAGAAAAAAATTCAGTGTTGTCTAAAGTCCCTTGGAAATGTTCCGCAAACCTGTCTCTGCTCAGCGAGCCTGGGCGACGGGGAAACGAGGTGCCACTCACCCTTACTCGTGGACGGCTTCGCCGGTGGCCGCATGGTCTGGATGAGGCGCAGCAGGTTGCTGACCAGAGAATCCTGTGGGAAGAAAGACAGCAAAGGGGCTCCAGAGAACAGCGCGCCCGAGTTGGGCCGCGGGGGTCGATGCAGAGCTGCGCTGAGGGCAGGGGCAGAGGTCACTTAGGTCCTTCCGCTACTTGGCGCCCACTGCTCAGAGCTGCTCCAAAGCCTACACCCCAACTTCAGACTCCCTCATTCACAGAACAAGAAAATAAACACCTGCAGGGGCTGGAGAGATGGCTCAGTGGTCTAAAGCACCTACTTGAAACAAGCTTGGCAAAGCACAGGGACCTCGGTTCGATCCTCCAGCACCACATGCCAGCCAGCCCCGACCCCTGGTGGACTGAGCTGGCCACACACACACACACACACACACACGCACAATAAATAAATGTAATAAATAAAAATAAATTAAAAAAAAATAAAATAATAAAATAAAATAAAGACCTGTGTAGACTTCGAGGAGACCGTCACGCTTCCCTAGAAAGGGGACACAGGAAATCGAGTTCTCCCAATCCTGCTTCACAGTACAAAACTCACACCCAGGGCCCAGTTAATTAGTTAAGTAGCACACAGAGGGCCAAGAGAGGAAACAGCTCAGCAGCACAGCGCCGGCCTGGCATACACAAGGTCCTGAGTTCAAATCCCAACAGCAAAAAAATAAAAAGCACAGAGATCATGCCTTCCTTTGTCTAAATCCCATTAAGTCCTAGCAATTAAATTCAAGTGACATTAAAAAAAAAAAAGGAAGCCAAGATACACTTCTCCTTTCCAAAGAAGAAAGGAACAAAATAGAAGTGAGTTTCCAGATAAACGTACCGTGAATTCTGCACCATTTTTGACCAGCGAAGCCTTAAAAGTATCAAAGGTGGTATTTTTCTCAGCTAGACTGATCACAAATTCAGCTGCAAATGAAGAAGAGGAATTAAGCATTGAGGCTTGAGTAAGAAATGACTTCCAAGTACGCTGAAGACAAACTGATCGTGCTAGCCACGCCAGAGCCGCTGTCCCGGAGGGTACAGCCCCGGACGCAGCAGTCCTGCAGGCGATCAGGCCGCAGACCTCCCCACGATGCATCCAGAGCAGGAGTGAAAAGAAGGCCCTGGAGCGCAGCGCTTGGCCAGGCCGCAGGGCTCACGCCAGACGGCCCACGACCTCAGACGCCTGCACCCCAAGACCTGAGAGGAGGCGCAGGACCAAGCTGCGGGCCTGCACGGGCTCTCGGGCCAGCAGATGCACACAGCACGGAGGCAGTGGCTGATGCGGGAAGGCAATCACACACACGGGGCTGAGATGAAGCCCACCGAGTGCCCCTGGAGCTGTGCAAACCACCTGCCCCAGCTTGCAGGCGTGAGGGGCACAGAGGCTGAAGCTGATGTCAACCTCGCGAGGGCAGGAGTCAAGGCTCTCCAGCTCTCGGGCAGGCCTTCCCCCCAGGTCTGGTCTCCTGTCCTTATTTCTTACCATTAACTTTTTTTTTTTTTTTTAGCAGAACTGGGGATTGAACTCAGGCCCTTGCACTGGCCAGGGAAGTGCTTATTCCACTGAGCCATCTCCCCGGCCCCGTGTCCTTATTTCTTTACCTCCTTGGCCTTTCTCCCGGGAACATAGAGAGCTGCAGGGGACACAGCACAGCAGGACTGTCCTGCATTCACTGGAAGCTCGCTAAAATTTTCAATGATTTCACCTGGATTTTTTATTTTTTGTACCAGGAATTGATCTCAGAACCTCATACTTGCCAGGCAACTGCTTATGCCACTGAGCTTTCTCCTCAGCCCCTCACTTTGGTTCTAACGCTACACAAATAATACAGAGGCTCTGGACGACTGGTATTTCCTCCCCTGTCCGGGCTGAAACTTGCCTTTACTTTCTTTTCCAGGGCTGGGGCCCGAAGCCAGGGCCCGGACCCCGCTGGGCAGGAGGCACTCAGCACCCCCAGCCCCGCTTTCTCTCTCTGCTCCAGGGCGGCAGCTGCCCCGGGGACCCTCCCACACCGAGCTCTCCGCAGCAATCGTCAGCAGGAACCGATGCTGTTCTGCTCTCAGCCTTCCACGCCGTCCTCCCCAGTAACCACCGAGGCAGGAGTGCAGCCCAAGCGACCACACTTGGGCCACATTTTTTGGAGAAAGGCGGAGGGGAGGCTGAGTGACAGCATCCGCTCGCGCTGCGGGGCTCACGACTTGGGAGTCAGGGACGTCCCGCCCTCAGGAGACAGGCCCATCTGGACCACAACAAGGCAAGGGAAAAGCGAACGATAAAAGACGCTGGCTGCGGGGCGTTTCGTGAGGCGCGGGATGGTCACTGAGGGGAGAAGACACCCCATTTCACGGACTGAGAAAAACAGCTTCAAAGAAAGGAGGCCCCTTCCCGGAGACGACGACAAATCCAGCTTCCCCAAGTGGATGCGGTGCTCGGTGACCCCCGAAGCCCGCGACTGAGGTGGCACCGGGGCTCACCTAGGTCCTTGTCGTTGATCCCCAGGTGGTTGTCGAGCTCGGTGCAAACCTTGGACACCAAGGACAGATACTCGAGCTTGGCGAGCTCCTCCGCGGGGCCCGGCTCCGGGACGCCCGGCGCGCCCACCGGGGCCAGCGCCACCGCCATGGCTGCGCCCCCGGGCCACCGCGGCCGGCCCGGCCCGGCCTCGACTTCCGGGTGGGTGAGCGTCCCTCCCGTTCGCCGCACGGCGGGAACTTCCGCCGCCTCTCTCGCCGCGAACCGACGAACCATAGAGCTCGGCCCGGAAGTGCGTGCAGAAGGGATAGACCGGAGCGGGTTGCTCTACGTGTTGGCTGGCGCCCTCTAGGGGTGAAAGAAACATTCCGCCCGCGAGCCCGGCCACGCTTCCTCTCGGCGCGTTCGGCGCTGCGTCGGCAGGGGGCGCCCGCGGGCCGCGCAAGGAGCGGGGGCTGGCGTGGGTGCGGGGCGGACACGCGGACCTTCCGCGCAGAAACTCTGGGCTTGGAGGTTCCAGGCGCAAGCTGGCTCTGACTCTGTCCCCAGGTCTGATTGCTGGAGACGCCGAGGCCGGCCGGGGAGCCCAGGGCTGCCGCTCACCTCGCCTGGGTGGTTCAGGCTCCTAAATCGCCGGGGCAATGGTGCACTCTTGCTGTCCAGCACTCAGGGTGGCTGAGGCAGGAGGCTCGACTCCGACCAGCCAGGCCAGCTTGGCAAAACGTTTGTCTCGAAAACCGGGTGCAGGGGGCCGGGGAGGTGGCTCAGTGGAATAAGCGCTTGCCTGGCACGTGCAAGGGCCTGAGCTCAATCCCCGGTTCCGAAAAAAACAAAGAAAAGAAAAGGGGGTGCAGATAAGGAGCTTGTTCGTTTCCAAAGCTCTGTCCGAGAGGTGCCGTAGCATCATGAACTCAGAGCAGCAAATACGGTCAGCGCTCGCGGATTGTTGGGGAATTAGTGAACGTCCGTCTCAGCCGTGTAAATGCACGGCAGAGTTCACTGCACCTTCTTCATGTGTCCCTCAACTGCACATTTTCAGAAGTGACAGTTTTGGGCGGGCGAGGTAGCCCAAGCGACTGAGTGCACAGGACCGGATAAGATCCCGGCACCACAGGCCGCGCCAGCCCCGCCCTCGAGCGCACCGAGGGACCCGGCGTGGTGGCGCTCGCCTGTAATCCCAGACTGGGGGGCTGGAAACAGGAGGGTCACTACGAGTCCAGGCTCCATGACGACACTCGATACCAAATACATTTTTTTAAAAAGGAGTGACAGTTTTATTTGATGCCACAGATTTCATGCAACGCCAATGAATTTGCTTAACCAAAGGAAAACAAATACATGTATGGATACAGGCAAGCCAGAGCCGACTGGGCGCACAGGGCTCCTCCCACGTCCTCCCTTCAAGGCCACAGAGCCAGACCTGGCACAGAGCCACCGCCCTGTGACAGCGTGGGCACATCAGTGCCAAGGCCCTGGGCTCTGTCCCCAGCTTGGGGGGGCTGTCTTTGGGTAGAATGTGTACTTTAATATAGTATTAGTTATAATGAATTACTCCTTATTATCGTGTCACCTTCCTTGGGTGGCCACCATGTGACCCTTTAGTATGGCTATTAATACTTCCCAGTAGGGCTGGGGAGATGGCTCAGTAGAGTAATCACTAGCCTAGCAAGCGCAAGGGCCTGAGTTCAATCCCCGGTTCTGAAAAAAAAGTACTTCCCAGCAAATAAATTTCTTCCACACAAAGCTAAGATAAGTAACAAAAGCTCACTCACTACCCTAACTACTGCTCACGAGCCATAAGAAACTGTTGCCCAAGCCACATATGATGGCACTCGCCTGTCATCCCAACACTCCGGAGGCTGAGGCAGGAAGATAGCCAAGAGTTCGAGTTCAGCCTGGACTACATAGTGAGTGTAAGGCCAGGCTGGCCTACACAGCAAGACCCTGTCTTAACACCCCCCCAAAAAAAAAAATAATCATGTTCTATTCTAAACCCTGCAGCAGCAACGGGGGTGCTGCGTGTGTGTGTGTGTGTGTGTGTGTGTGTGTGTGTCTCCAGGGCTCTGTGTGTGCGTGTGTGTGCCCATCGGCTGCACGTGCCCCGGCCTGTGCTCCCTCGCACCCCAGCTCCAGCACTGCTTTCTCAGGCCATTTCTGCTCCATCTCAGGATGGGTCCCAGCGAGGGAACCAAGAAGAAAGCTTGGAGGCTCTGAGTCAGGACGGCCCGGAGCAGCAGGAAGAGCGGAGCCTGTGTCGCTGAGGGCCACAGTCCAGGAAGGGAGTGAGCAAAGCCACAGGGCTTCCCGTGCCCAAAGCAACCCAGCTGCTGCCCTGAGGAGCCAGCCCGGGCTTCGCCTGTGGGTGCCGCTGGGGTCCCCAGGGAGACACAGAGCTGCGTGACCACAGCCAACACTGTCGCAAAGGAACAGACTTCCTTCCAAGAAATAGCCTGGACCAGCGGGGGAGTCTGGGGGGGACCCTACTGACAAGATGACAACGTCTAGCGCTCCACCGCCGCTGCCAGACAGGACTCCAGAGAGGTCAGGGCGCCCCTTGCGCTCTGTTCTTTGGCTTGGCCCCTGAGTTATTCTCCTAGTTTGAACCCATTCATCACCTTTGTATTGAATATTCCCTTTGTTTTGGGGTTGGGTTTAGAGCAGATTCTCCCATGTAGCCCAGGCTGGCCTGGATTGACAGGGATCCTCCTGCCTCCACCTCCTGAGGGCTGGATGACACGCATGCGCCACCACGCCTGGTGCGCATCTGCTGTGAGCCTGGCGCCATGGTGTGCCCGTGAAACGCCTCATCTCAAGGGCTCCAGGACAGCGCCGGAAGCATCCCGGAAAACCTGCCAGGCTCTCACAGCTGTGGCTGTAAATCCAGCCTCTCGGCTGTGGGATTCATGGCGGGGGGAAGTGGGAACGAGAGCAGCGGCTCGGCCGTCCTCCGGGGCAGCTGGAGCGGGGACACCAGGGCTCTGGGTCCCCGCAGGCCTGGGCTCTCGGTGCCAGCGTCCTCCCCACAGGCTCCTTGCCTCCCAGTCCTGCTTCCTCTCTGTCATTCAAGGCTTCTACAGAATCCAGGCCAAACCCAGCCGCACTGCTGAGCCGGAGCTAGGAAGTCTGCGCCTCTCGCTCCCCGCCTCCCAGGGAGTGGAGAGTGACCTTTGCGGGTTCACCTCGAGGTTCCATCTTTGCGTTTTCTTTTTGTGCTCAGTGCTTGCGGTTGGATCCGGGCTGGAGCACCAGGCCACACTCCACACAACCCTGAGTCTGCATCCTCTCTGTCTCCCTGGGTCAGGATCTGTTGGTATTTCTGAGAGTCCCTTAAGGTCAGCAGGACGTGGTGGCACACGTCTGTGGTCCCAGCACCCAGAGGCTGGGGCAGGAGGATGAAGAGTTTGAGGACTGCCTGGACTACAGAGTAAGGCGTCTGTCTCAAGGAGGGAAAGGAAGGAAAGACAGGACTTAGTTAACATAGATTTTTCTTTAAAAAATGTCTGTGTGTACTTCTAACCAACATGGTGAGGAGTTGCTTCGGGCTGCCACCCCTCAGCTGCAGCTCTGGGTCTCCCTGAGGTCATTCCTGCTGTCACCAGGGCTTTGCTCACTGGGGAACAAACCCAGCTGCTGAGGCATGAGCTCACACGAAGGAAGGGGCAGAAAAGAGCCCCCGAGCTCCGCGACCTTTGTGCAGTGTGTGCAGAGTTGTGTGTGCACGTGTGTGCGAACGTGTGCTGAGCATGTGCCCGCCCGGTGAGCTGCAGCCCCAGCCCCACAAGCTTTCTTTGCTTTGCTTTTTGAGATGGGATCTCGCTGCGGGTCTCCCGGGAGGCCCTGACCTTCCCGAGGTCCTCCGGTCTCAGCCTCCCAGTCCAAGGCCTGCGCGCTCAGGTGTGCGCCCCAAGGGCTTTCTTGGACAGTAGCACCCACGCGTAAGCCTGATCTGCTTTGGCGGTGGCAAAAACTGCCGACCCACAGAGTCACTGTGTCACCTAAGGCCACCGTGGCTACTGTGGCTGATGCAGAGGACACGCCCTGCTGGGCCTGTCCCAATGGATCCGTCCTGCACCAGCTGCGCAGGAGCCAGATCCCAGGACACGTTCAGACGCAGAGGCTGTTTGCAGCTCTGTTGTGCTGAGGACAGTGGGGCACAGGCTCTGGCGGGGGGTGGTGATGTGGGAATCCGACACCATACTGCAGTCCATTCTTCCGCCACTCGAGCCTCTGGCCCCGTGCGCCTGTGTCATGAGCGGAACGCCGAAGCGTCTCCTGTGAGTGTGAATTTCCATCTGTGGCAGCTGCCTGGCTCCTTGTGGGCAGGAAATCTGGGACACAATGACTTTTTTTTTTTTTTTTTTTTTTTACTTTGAGACAAGATCTCACTGTGTAGTTCAAGCTGGTTTTGAACCCACTATGTAACCCAGGCTGGCCTCAAACTCATAGAGATCCTCTTGCCTCAGCCTCCAGAGTGCTGGGATTTCAGGTATGTGCCACTACACCTGGCAAGACACTTAGTTCTAAGCTAGGCCAGAGAAGAGTCACTGTGAACCCTTGGAGTCACACAAATCAGAGGGTCCCAGGGAGCAGTGGGGCCACGTGACCTGGTTTTAACCAGTGATTTTTTTTTTTTTAAGAGAGAGACAGAGGTGGATCTCATCACATTGCCCAGACTGGGTTCAAAACTTAGGTTTCAGGGGTCTGGGGAGATGGCTCAGAGGAATAAGCGCTTCCCTGGCTAGCGCAAGGGCCTGAGTTCAATCCCCAGTTTCTCAAGAAAAAAAAAATTAGGCTTCAGGCTGGATGAGGAGGCACAGGCCTGTCGCCACAGCTGTCAGGAGGCTGAGGCAGGAGAATTGCAAGTTTGAGCGCAGCCCAGGCAACTCTGTGGCTTCGTGAGACCCTGAGACCCCATCTCCAAACAAGAAAGGGCAGTGGACACGGCTCCGTGTGAGGGCGCTGGCTTCCTCCCCAGTGCCACCAAAGAACAAAAACAGAACCCGGGTAGCTGTGTCCACGCCCTGCCTCGTGGCTGTGGGCCCCGCCTGTCCCAATCCCTTCCTCTGAAGCATAGTCCCCAGACTGCCTTGGGGCGGTCAGTCCCCGTAGGAGCTGAGCCCACAGCCTCCCACCTGCTGGGGGCATCAGCCATGGCTGGTCCATCATGGCAGTGCCAGGCCCCCACAGAGATGCGCAGAACTCGCAGTCT